GATGAGTCAGTCAGGAAGATATATGCAACCTATTAAAACCTTTTCTCAACCATACTTAACCCATTTCCATATCTGCTCGATAAGATCAGAATTAAGTTCAGTATTGCTGATTTCATATGATTTTATGGAACTATTAATATATATTGCAAACACCACCCGCTCTTTTACCATTCAGTTGATCTTTCCTATATACTACATAAACCTCCATATTAACATCTGAAAAAGGTGTATACCATGTTTCAGTAACAGCAAAAACATCTGTCATTTTGATATCAATTAAAGCTCTGAAATCTTTTTTTTTTTATTACAGTTTAAAGATGTTGAATTTGTATAATATACTATCAGACTTTTGTTATTATTTAATAAATGACTATCATTAGGATTATCTATTATATTGTTTAACTTTTCATATAGTACATTTTTTTGAGATATCTGTTGACATGGTTGTTTTGATTCAAGTACTTTTTGAAAGTATTACAACAATTTGATTTCTAAATCCATTTTAGGCCTTGGTTAGCTTCATTTAATTTACCACGTTCTTCTCTAAGAGCTTTCATCTTAAATCTTTCTGCTTCTGTTATGTCTGCATTAATAAAGATATTATTGATTTCTGGCAAATTTTGCAAGTTTTTAGCAGTTTTTAATACAGCATTTCTATCTTCTTTGTTAGTTAAAACAAAAATAACTTGATGTGATTTGTTTGTTTTTGTATTTAATTTAAAAACTTGCTGAAAACATTTTAAATAAATTGTGTAGCTCTTATTTCTCATCTTCTTTAGCCAGACTTTCGCTATTTTTTCTTTCGCCAGACTTTCGCCATTTTTTTGAAGAGGTTTTAAATCAGAAAACTACTAAATTTTTTTGTCTTAGTTCTCTGTCTTTAACAACAACGTTTAATAAATCAGATGCATTTTTTTTCCCTCCCTTTAACTACATTGGACCATGTATTTGATACATCATTTGAGTTTGATATGAGTTTTGATTGATTCTTCATATCATTTACTTATATTTTGATTTCTTTTTCTTTTATTTGGAGTTCCGCTTCGAATATCAGTACTCTACTATCTAAAGCTTTGAAGTCTTCTTTTCTTACCATTGTCAAATTTGAAAAGATAAGTTTATCTTTTATTACTTAGTTGTTTTTACAAAAAGTTTATGTTTTGTTATTTACTTACTTTTTTAACTTTTTTACAAAGTTATGTCTGCCATTTTTAATGACACACAAGATATTTATGCTCTTTTCAAAACAATATATTGTTTCTATTATTTTAAAAACATTATAATTGGCGATTTCTATTTTATTCTCATATAATTTCAACCTATATAAATATTTTTACATTTGTGATGTTATCAAAGAGTAAATTAAGTTTGAAATGGAATCACATAGAACAGAAGAACGCAAGTTTTAGTCAGTAGATGAAGTTTAATCTCTTAGAAAATATAAGTTTTACAAAATATGTTTTTTTTTTGAATAGCATTTTATATATTAGAAAAGATTTTTAGAATGTTACAGGTTCAACTATGCATCACAGAGTCACAACAATCAAACTAATTCACTTCATTCACCCACAGAAATTCATGCACAGATATTGCTCATTGTCTAGTTTGTATAGTTATTTATATGGAAATAAATTGCTTGAGAAAGTTTCAAATAAAATATTATATAATTGCAACTCATATTTAATATATTTTCAATGAGAAATAGCAGTCATAAAATATTTCAAGCTAGAGTATAGCGTTTAGAAAAACATTATATATTTTTTAAGCTGTTGAAACAATTACACGCATTATTCATTTAGGTAGCCTAAAATATGATAAGACATTTTTTGAATAATTGTTATTTAAGATAATCTGAATAATATGCACATTGCTTCAAATCTCAGACTCTAAGTATAAAAACAAAGAATATTATAAAAAATCACATACAGAAAAGGATATGTGCCCATTTAAAACAAAACAAATTAACACTGCAGCATTTAAAAAACCTCAAATCTTTTGTAGTAATTTATTTACACCTACTATGTAATGTTACTGTTGCATTTTCTGTCTAACATTTTTTTTAAAGTTTATAAAACTACATTGGAGCCCTTTGTTACAGCTTAGGGTTTATTAATAATAATAAGGCAATTGCTTGGGCTATTAAACATTGTACTGAGTACTATCTATGCTTCCAGTCAAGTTCTTTAACAAATTTAAAAATGAATAAAGTAACAAAAACTATAAAACACAAAAAACTATTGCCATCACCAAGTTCTCTAAACCTATCATTCACTAATATTCGTGGTCTTTGAAGTAACATTTCTTCTGTTGAGTCTTATTTCTTGCAAAGTTCACCAGACCTACTTGCTCTTTGTGATACTAATTTGAGTTCAGCTGTCTCATCTTTTGATCTTAGTGTTAATGGTTATCTTCCTGTAATTTGTAAAGACTCTAATAGTCACATGCTTGGCCTATATTTATATTCGCATTTACATTCGTAAGAATTGACCCATTTGTCGGGAAACTAGGTTTGAATCCACAGACTACTCTTTTATGTGCTTTTGTTTAGCACCACTTCACTTTATCACTTTTCTCTTTGTTCTATATCGCTCTACTTCATCTCAAGACTGCACTCTTCTTGATGTTATTTCTGATCATATTGACCAAGCCCTCTCTCTTTATCCATCGACTAATATTGTTGTTGGTGGTGACTTTAATGTTCATCACACTAAATGGCTTGGCTCTAGTGTCAGTGACTCTGCAGGCATTAAAGCCACAACTTTTGCCTTTCTCAATCCCTAACTCAAATAGTCAACTTTCCAACTTGCTTTCCAGACAACCTAAATCACATACCTTCTCTACTCGACTTATGTCTTGTTTCTGATCCTAGTCAGTGCTCAGTTTCTCCACATTCACCCTTAGGTGCCTCAGATCACAGTTTGATCTTTCTAAAACTATTATCTCATTCTTCTTTATTATCAGAATCCCCTTATCATCATAAATCTTACAACTACCTTAAAGCTGACTGGGACTCTTTCCATGATTTTTTTTGTGATGGCCCTTGGGTAGTACTCTTTCATTTTCCTGTTGACAAATGTGCTTCTTACATAACTTCATGGATTCAGGCTGGCGTGGAATCCTTTATTCCCTCTCGATGATTCCAGGTCAAGCCTCACTCTTCTGCATGGTTTTTCTCACATTGTGCTGCTGCAATAGTCAATCGAAACCATTACTTCCATATCTATCAGCAAAACATTTCTCCAGAAAAAAAGACGTCTGTTTATTACTGCTAGGAACCATTGTAAAAAGGTTTTGTCTAACGCCAAAGCCCGCTATTCTCAGGTCATGAAATCTTGTATTTCATCACAAAAATTAGGCTCTCCTGACTTCTAGAGAATCTTTAATAGTATCAATAATAAGGGCAATTCTGTAATTCTACCTCTTTTGTATGGTACAGACTTTTTCGCCTCACCTAAAGACAAAGCTGAATTATTTACTAAGAGCTTTTCATCAATATCATCTCTTGATTTCACTAGTTGCGTTCTACCTGATATAGCTGTCAAACAGGTTGACCCATTGCTTGACATTCGTATCACTCCAGCTTCTGTATCAAAAGTGATTTCCTGTTTAGACTCTTCTACAGCTTGTGGCCCAGACAACATACCTGTTATAGTCTTGCAGAAGTGTTCTCTGGAGCTGTAGTATAAAAGTTGTCCTCGATGGGCAGCACTCTTATTCTTATTCTGTAAACTCAGGGGTTCCTTAAAGTTCAATCCTTGACCCTATACTCTTTTAAATTTACATTAAGGATTTTCCAGATATTCTCGCAACTAAGATGGCATTGTTTGCTAATGATACTACCATTTTTTCTTGTCACGATAAGAAGCCAACTCTCTCTGATTGCTTGGAGGAGGCATTTGAGCTTGAAAAGGATCTCACTTCTGCTACAGCATGGGGCTCACAGTGGCTGGTGAACTTTAGTTCAGATAAAACTTACTTTTTTTCAGCCAATTGTTATCACAATAATTTAGACTTTAGACTATACTCCTATATTTATGAACGGTAATGTACTTGATGAGTCATATACCCTTCATCTTCTAGAAATAACTCTTACTTCTGATCTTTCTTGGAAACCATATATCAAATCCGTTGCAAAATTAGCATCTGCTAAAGTTGCATTTCTTTATCGAGCTCAACACTTTCTTATTCTAGATTCTATTCTCTATCTCTATAAATCTCAAATCCGGCCTAGTATGGAATACTGTTGCCATATCTGGAGCAGATCATCTAATGAGGCCTTTTCTCTTTTAGACAAAGTGAAAAAAGGCATTGTAAACATAGTTGGACCTGCTCTTGCAGCCAATCTTCAACCATTATCACATCGTCCTAATGTTGCTACTCTTTCTCTTTTCTACAAATACTATAACGGGCACTGCTCTAAAGAGCTATATAAAAAGTTTAACTTTCAAAATGTTGTATGAGCAAGTTTGTTTTTACCTTCCCACTTCAAATATTTTTAATTTAATAATATTCTAGTAGTTTATTAATAACTTTTTTATGTTGCTTTTTGATATAACTACTTATGAAATTGCTTTTGTTTATCAATAAATATCCATCCTTCAATTTTCATTAAAATATTAAAACGGTTAATTCATTTTTTACTTGAATTTCATAAGCTAAAAAATTTTAGTACTGTTTTTTTATCTTGTTTTTACAGAACAAAATAATCGCAAATATTTAAAAAGTTTGTAGCAAATTTTGTAGCACACTCTTAATAAAACATTTCACAAAAAAACAAGAATCTGTATATCGACTTTGAAACAATAATGAATTAAAACTGACACTCTAGAAACAATAAAATTTTGCGTAAACTAGTTTTTAAAAAATGAAATATTTAATTGTGTTATTCGATCAAGTTAAAAACTAGCATTAATGTTAACATATTTTAGTATAAGTAAATTTGAGTTAATGGCAACTATAAACTAATTTGAACTTACAAAAATGTTAAGCTTTACTCTAACCTGAAAATTCTTTTTCGAAAATCCAATTTTGATCAGCAATCCATGAATATTCCCTATCTCTATAGCCAACTAAAGGATCATTTATTAAACCGTTTTTGAAAAGAGCCATATGAACAGACGTTGGAACATTGACTGATATACTTATAGATTTGTTTGATAAAATCCACATTGATTCTGTCAAATCTATAGTTTTTATTCCACTAGTAATATCAATGAAGGTATATAGTAGGATTTTGAGAAGAATCACGTTCATTTTATTATTACTATTATTTTCGCAAAAAAACACAGCTAAAAATATATAGACATGATTGTTATTGTTTTTTAAAAAAAGGTAAGTACATGATTCCATAGCGTAAAGTTAGGTCCCGTAAAATGTTCCGCAATTGTCCCGCTTCACGTCCAGGACAGAGTTAACATAATTAATTTTTGCATTTATAATTTAATTTATGAAATAATTAATATTCTTTAAATGTGGAGCACGTTTTCACCTGGTTATCGTCGAAGATTAAATTTAAATTGGTAAAAAAATTATTATTATATATAGATAATAATAATTTAAATTTATTAGAAAAAACAACATTGAGTAGAGGTAATACAAGACATTTTAACTTTTTTAGACAAAATATTTTAAATTTTGAATATAAAAAGCTTAAGTTGATGTTTGTTTTACTACTCGTTTAAAAACATTTCTCAGGAATGACATCCCTGAGAAATTTAAAAATTTAAAAACATTCCGAATGTTTTTAAACGAGTAATATAATATGAGCTTTTTATATTCATAATTTAAAATATTTTGTCTAAAAAGGAATTTCCTCTACAAGCACGCTTTAAATGAAGTATCAATTTCCACGTTTGTATGGTTGTTACTGTTTAAATTTTTTTAGTTGTTATTTCTCAAGAAGGAAGTTGGGTTACTGTAGAAACATACGTTGAAGTACTTTTTTTGATACATAGCTACGAAACAGAGGCTATATCAAAGTTTTCATGCTTTAGTGGCACTATAGCATGATTCATGCTATAGTGTATCAAAGTTTTCATGCCATGAAAACTTTGATACAGCCTCTGTTTCGTAGCTATGTATCAAAAAAAGTACTTCAACGTATGTTTCTACAGTAACCCAACTTCCTTCTTTCCTTTCCTTTCCTTTAGCAGCACTATTAGTGCTGCTAAAAACTAGAAATATGATATGACAATTTTAATTAAGTGTTTTTAAAATGCAATTGCTAAATTTTAATTTTCTTTTATATTTGTATAGTTATTATTTAAAATTTTTGTTGTTGTTATCTTTAAAGATTCTTCTGCAAAACACCACAAAATAAGATGATTCAATATCATTTAATGGTACTCCCTTTATGGTTTTAGGATGTAAAGTGCTTGATTGTATGCACGGGAATGATAGAAAAGCCTCTTTTAAAGAATTTTATAAAATTCATTTATTATTATAATATGTTTTTCTTTATCAATTTGTTTCTAAAATAGCTCCTGTATTTAATGATTATATGTCTAAACCTTTTATTTTTGTTCTTTTGTCTAATTTTCCTTATAGGTATCAGATCACAGTTTTTCAAAAAGCTATTTGCTATATTTAAATTTCTTGGTCACCAAGAAATTTAACTGTAGTTTTCAAATAAAAATTTAGAAAATTTAAAAGTTCCCAAGTTTTAAGGTTTTATTTTATTGTTTGTTTAATTTATATTATTGAAATGAGATTTAAGTCAGTCCTATATTAACTATTCAAGACATACATGCATCAACTTAAAATATAACCAATTAATTTATGCTAGTTCTTTTTAAAATAAACTTTGTTTTAGATTGCTGAGGATACTAAATTTAGAAGAGTGCAATTCTCAAACCGTATTAAAGATGCTTTGTCAAGAATAAAGTAGTAAGGGAAAGAGTGTTTCCAGTTTGCTTTCCTTCAAAAAGTTCTCATACTGGTCATTTTACTAGAGATGTAAGATTTCTTTTTTTTTTTTGTGTAGATAAAGTTAAACAATAGATTTTAAAAGAAAAAAAACATTAAAGAGTTATCCAAATTAATTTTAATTTCTTGTTTGCCTGTTTTAAACATCTTAAAGTTAGTTTATTATTTCAAACATGTTATTCAACTTGTTTTGTCATATAACATTTATTAAATTTTAACATTTATATTAATATGTTTCCATTTATTTAAACCAACAATAAGGTTGTAGTAAATCTTAATTGCTATTTTTATTGCTGTTGTTTAGGAACTTTAGATTTAATATTGTTTAAAATATGTATAAACTTTCTTGTGTTCAGTATATATAGTATATCATATTTAGTATCTTGATCCAGATTACTTAAGGCCTTAAATTTAAATGCCTGCTCCTACTGACGGTTTTGTTATATACTCGGTATGTTCTAGTACTATTCCTAATATATGTAATATTGTTCATACAAACTTCAATATTTTCACCAGGGGTGGGTTTTGTCACTCACCAAGGAGGTGGCTAAAATGGTTTTTAAAAAAAAAGGTCCGCATTTTTTCACTTAAAAGTGACTTTCTTTAACTTTTTGTACTTTAGTGTAATAATTAAGTTCATATATGTATAATTACCTATAATAGTCAATTACCTATAATAGTCAATCCCAATGGGGGGCGGGGGCAACTACCCCCATGCCCACTCTTAAACTCGCCACTGATTTTCACAGTCTGCTGAAGCTATTAAGTGTATCAATGAAGAGAACTGATCTATCAATCTTTTTACTAGCAATCAATAAAATATCTCATTGGAAGTAGGAAGAAGGAAGCTTGTACTATTGTAAAATAAAATGATATCTGTTTCTGTAGCATTATATATATTAAAGTGTACTTTATTTTAGATCAAATTGCATGATTTCACATTTATCTTTATTAAAACTGATTAGCCTTTTTTTTTTCCAGTTAAATAAGATGTCAAGATCAAACTGTGTAGAGTGATTTATTAATTTTTTTTCTAATTGAGTTATTTTCTAAATTTTCAAAAATTTCAAATACTTCTTGGAATATGCATCTTAAATATGGAATTCATATTTTAATAAAGATTTAAATTTTATCGAAAAAGTCCAACAAAAAGCCGCAAAAATTGGCTACAAAAGAAAGGGAGCAAGTTACGAGCAAAGATTAAAAGAAATGGGCTTACAAAATCTATCAAATAGAAGAGAAAACAGCGATCTTATTAAAATGTTTGAACTTATAAACAACCATGATATTATCAATTAGAACTGCGTTCCACAAGTATTGGGTAGGCTTACAGAGGCCACAATCAAAAGTCAAAAAGACATTTTGTTAAAAACTTTTTGTTGAGACCAATTTTTTTACAAACCATATACAGTGGGTTGCCAAATTATTTGGGACACTTCACTTTTTAAGTAATTTTAAAGTTTAAATGATTTTTGCAAGCAAATAATTTTTTTTAAATAAAAAGTTTTGAGTGTATTTTAGTCACTAATATAACTATAGTTGTTTTTAAACTGTGACAATTTGTGATAACCCGATCTGTCAAAAAGTTAGGTTATTACTCAATTAGCTGTCAATTTTTGAAAAGTGTAGTTGAAAGTCAAAAATTCAAAATTGATTTCAGTTACTTATTTTTGGAACAATTTTTTGCAAGTTTTTTGAGTTTAAAACTATTGAAACCTAAATATTCGTTAATAGTTCAATTAGTTTAGTTATTAATTTAGTATTTTTGCTACTTTTAATGCATAAATCCCTGACATACAACTATTCTTACCTCTCGTTAATTTTTTTAGTCTCCAGACTTAACCCAAAAAAAAAACAGAAAAGTAAAAACCTTACTTCTTCATTCTACACATTCTCAGAGAGAGGTTGCAAGCGTTTCAAAGTCAGTAGTGAGTCTTGAATTTAAAAAAAAAAATGGTACAAATGTGACTCTAGAACCAGACCATGTCAGAAAAAGTGGCAGTAAAGGATCACTACTCCATGTTATGACCGTAAATTTAAAGACATCTGTCTTAAAAACAGAAAAAAAAGTGTGGCTCAACTAGCTATAATTATAAACAATGAAGGAATTAACGTCTCCAAAAGGACGGTTCAGGGACGGTTGGTTGAAGAGAATTTAGTGTGCTATTGTCCAACCAAAAAAAGAATGTTTAACTGAAGCCATGAAAAAAAAGCGGCTGGAATGGGCTAGAAAACACCAGAATATGACTATTGAAGACTGGAGTAGAGTAAATATAATTTATAATATTGTAAGAAACCAGAAAAATTTAAGGATAAATATTTATATTTGAAATATCTTTGATATATTTTGCAGGTCAAATATCTTTAAAATGTTTTACAGGTCTGCCTCTTGGGCCAATCAGCATTTCAAATTTTGATGGACAAAAGCGCATTTGTTCGACGATGCCCAGAAAAAAATTTCACTTGGACTGCCTTTTGGAAAAAGTTCAACATCCTGTGAGTGTAGGGGTGTGGTCTGTGATCTCAGCCAAGGGTATGGGCTGCCTTAACATTGTGGAAGGAACCATGAAGCAGGATTGGTCCTGCCATATGGTTCCTTCTTACAAGCGATTACTGGAAAACAGGCTCCTGCTCCAGGTCTAAGAATGGTTCCCTGGTAATGAAGAGTATATGTTCATGCATGACTCAGCACTGTCCCATAAAGCTAGAAGTGTTACAGCATTCCTAACTGAAAAAAAAGTGCATGTTTTGCCATGGCCAGGGAATGCACCTGATATTAACCCTATAGAAAATTTATGACAGTTCATAAAACAGAAAATTGCCAAAAAAAATTATCACTACCAAGCAGCAATTGATAGAAACCCTTATAAGAGAGTGGAATAGCAACCTCAGTCTCCAACACAATGCAGAAGTCTACATAGATAGCATGCCCAAATGCCTGAAAGCTGTTATTGTAGCTAAGGGTGGCATTACAAAATATTAAGATTATTACCTTATTTGTCATGTTTTCAAACTTTTTATAAAAAAGTAAATAGCAATGAATAAGTAATAATGTTGTTTTATATTCTAAATAAAACTCTCTACCAATAAAAACAATTAAAAAAATAACAATAAGATACATATTTATTCATTAAAGTAGTTTGTACTTTAAAATTACTTAAAAAGTAAAGTGTCCCTAATAATTTGGCAACCCACTGTAGTTAAAAAGTGTAATTGTTTGCATAGAAAAGTTGTCAATGCCATTTCAGTAATTGATTTCAAGAAAAAGTTTAAAGAATTTAGCTTTGATGAATTCGTTGATGATTTTTCAAGATTTTTTTTTTGTATTACTTTGTTTTGATATCTTTCTACCATTAGCACCTATCTACCTTTTGATATCCATCTATCTTTATTTGGTATGTCAGCTTTTATACAATTCTGGCCTT